CCAAATTGCCCAGACTGGGCTTGAACTTGCAATTCTCTCATCTCAGCCTACCAGAGTTATACGCATATACCACCAAACTCAGCTAAATTCACTGTAGTTAACATCCTTCAATAAATAAAGTCATCAAAAATTGAATTTAGAACAATGGCCAACTTGAAGTGGCAGTGGACATTATGACAGAATTCTGGTATAACAAAAGTATTTGGATATGTTGCTAAAATCCAGTATGGAGACCCCAGGAGTCAGGAAAATGAATATTTTTAGTCCCAATTAAGTATTTTTTTAGTTCAAGGTACATATATGTATCAGTTTTCTCTGACAGTTTCATCACAGACTCACTTTGATTTTTTAAAGGATGACAATGTTGGGAGACGGAGTTTTTATTTTTATTGAAAGGGAAAGAATAAAGCCAGTAATGACAGCAATAAAATTCCAAAAAAGCTAGGACACAATAAAAATCCACAGAAAACACTTCTCCAAGAATACTCTAATTAAAATTAATCTTGCTCTGAAGCAAACTAACACTACACTTACCCAATCAGTCCTACCTACAGAGGCTTCTGACCACAACCAATTTTCTATCTGTCATCCACTATCACACACCACTTAACAAAGTTTAAAAAAATATACCCACAAAATTTTGTTCCTTAATTTTTTTATCAAAACATATCAGAATTGAGCTGGGGATTTAGCTCAGTGATGTCACTGCCTGCCTTGAAAGTGCAAGGTCCCGAGTTCAATCCCCAGTATCAAAAAAAAAAAAAGAAAATCCATATGGATTCAACTATCCCATTCTCCTAGAGAGAGTAAGGTAAAAAGTAAAAATTCCTATCAGGCTGGGGATTTAGCTCAGTGGTTCCGCTGGCTGCTTTGCAAGCGCAAGGTCCTGAGTTCAATCCCCTGGTACCAAAAAAAAAAAAAAAATCCTATCAAATATCTTTCTGGAATATTATAGTTAGGCTAATGCCAGTTGGCACAAATTCTAATCCAAAAATCATCAAGACTCTGCACAGTACTTTGCTAAACAGTTACTGACTACTACTACTACAAAATAGGTAACTTAGGGTTTAAAGTATGTATTAAATCAGATTTGGTATGCTGTAACTGATCTTTACCAATTAGCAGTAAAGTAAGTTTATATTCTATTTCCACATGTCAGCTAAACTTGAAAGAAAGGTGACCTAAACAAGTGCTAAATGATTTGAGAAGATGAAATTCAACATGCACTATGAAACCCAACTAGACTCTTCAGAACTGTCAAAATCATCAAAAAGGAAAATCTGGGCTGGGGATTTAGCTCAGTGGTTCCACCGCCTGCCTCACAAGCACAGGGTCCTGAGTCCGATCTTAGGTACCAAAAAAAAAAAAAAGAGGAAAAGGAAAATCTGAGAAACTGCCAAAGTCTAGAGGAGCCTAAACAGACGTGACAACTAAATGTAATGTAGAAACCTACATGGGATCCTAGGACAGATAAAGGACATTAGATAAAAAGAAAATCCAAATAAAGTGTGTGTGTACATATATGTTAATAAGTGTCAATATTAGTTGTGAAAAACATACCATTCTTAGATGTTAACAATAAAGGAAACAGAATTATACTGGAATTCTACACTAACTTTGTGACTTCTATGTAAATCTAAGACTAACCTAAAATAAAGTTTACTTTTTAAAAATACATCGTGGATTACACAAGGGTTAACTGAAGGCAATTTTGTATTTATGCTGTTTCAGTTAGAAAAACTGAGACTGCTAATCTTTGCAAAAAGGAATGCCTCCTTCCTACCAAAAGGAGTGCAATATTATCATCATAATCACAACCATTTCAGTAACAAGATGTGGTAGGTGATGAACCAAACAGAAGGACACTGCCTGTGAAGAACAGGCTCAAGCTAAATTAACAAGCTTTTAGTTACCACCTGGGTCCTTCCGGTCTGCTTTTCCTTAGTGCTACACCTCTACTTGGAACTCAGGATTGTCTCTTGCAGCTGATGCTACCCCTACTGTCCAGCTGCTCTCTTCTCAGGGGAGTTTAAAAGAAGGGAATAGTGTGCCACAGATGGGAAAAAATGAAAAAGGGGTTAGCTAGAGAGACAGAAGCGAACTAATTACCCCAAAAGGGAGGCAGACGGTGTCCCTGGAGCAAAGAAAGGGCAAGATAAATATACTCCATCTGAGAAGACCTCATTATTCTTTAAGATATGTCTGATTTAAGAAACAGCATTCTAAAGTAAATGACAGGTTGGAATTTTTTTTAAAAGCTAATACCACTGATTATATAAACCAAAGGAGTAGTTTTGGAACAGTAAATATGATCACCTATTAATTGTATTTCAGTACACTATTTAAATCACTTCCACTTTGATAAATTTTTGTCATTTACTATTCAATAGGATGCAGCAAAATCTGATAATTAAAACGTAACCTTCCCAAAATTATTTTCATCACATTCAGGGATCAATATCTATATGAAAGTATGGGTACTACAATTTTTTTAAATTATACTAAAAAACAGAAAATTAACTAGAGAAGAAATTTTTATAAACGACAACCCAGTTTCATTAGAGAAAACATATCTGAGAACATGAAATCTAAAAGAAAACAATCCCAACACAGTGTACTATTTTAACAACATACATCAAAACAGCCCACATTATTTAACTTTTTTTTGAGACAAGGTCTTGCTATATATAGCCCAACTTGACCTTGATCTCACTCTGTAGCCCAGGCTGGCCTCAAACTCACAGTGATCCTTCTGGCTCAGCCTCCCAAATGCTGGGATTGCAGGTATGCACCATCACACCCAGCCACATTTAACTTCAACAGGCTTTTAACTTTCAATATGTAGTCCTACTTAGGGACGGGGATTTAGCTCAGTGGTTCCGGCACCTGCCATGAAAGTGCAAGGTCCTGAGTTCAATCCCCAGTACCAAAAAAACATTTGGGCCAGGGATTTAGCTCAGTGGTTCCACTGCCTGCCTCGCAAGCGCAAGGTCCTGAGTTCAATCCCTGGTACCAAAAAAAGAAAAGAAAATATTTAGTCCTACTGTGGTAAAACTAAACAAATAAAATTATTTTTAATTTCACAAAATTTCATGGAATCTTTTTCAAAAAAGGTTTGTTCTGATGCTCTGCCAACTTTATTAAGACCAAAACCCAGGAGTCAGCATTATAGTTTTGTGTACACATACGTGTGTGTGTGTGTGTGTGTGTGTGAGAGAGAGAGAGTGAGAGAGAGAGAGAGAGAGAGAGAGAGGGAGGAGTGGTGCTGGGGCTGAACCCAGGATTTTGTGCATTCTAGGCAAGCATTCTACCACTAAGCTACATCTCCAGTAGGATTACAGTATTATTAACAATTATGGTTCATCAAAAATTCAGTGCATTGGGCTGAGGATTTAGCTCAGTGGTTTCGCTGCCTGCTGCTCAAGCTCAAGGACTCAAGTTCGATCCCCGGTACCAAAAAATTTCAGTGTATTAATAACTTACAGATAGTCATATCAATATTAAATGTCTCCACATAGTGGGCTCCACATATAAGGCCCTGGGTTCAACCCCTAGCACCACAAACAAAAAGTCTCCAAACATTTTAGTGAAGTGACTTTCATGATCACTTCAAGATTAAAATAACTACTCAAGTATACTTAAGTTAGTGAAAGAAAAAAGAAGTTGGCAGGCTTAGCTTTTAGCATAACAAGTAGAAAGCACGACGTTGCTGAAACCAAGGAATTTTATACTTTGATATATATACGTATATCATATATATGTACATACATACAAATATGTACATTTTACATATTTGAAACTATATATTACATACTTAGAACTAAGGAATAGACTCTCTTTCTTAGGAGAGATGGAAAAGCTATAAAGCTTTATTATAGAAGAATGACAATCACTCTCAAAAAAGAGTAAAATGAAGTATGTGTCGATTACAAAATAAAGAGCAATTATCTAAACATGTAACACACATTCCTACATAAATATCAATGTTTATGTTAGTAAGTACCAGTTTAAGATACAGACACCTGGATTACATTCCATCCAAAAATAAAACAGATCCTATAGGTCAGACAATAACAGACATTTCAGAATATTCAATTTCAAATGAGAATGCTTTTTTAAAAATGATCTAAAAAGCCTATATTTAACTGTCAAGAATCATTATCAAACTAACTTGCTGGAGTATTTGGTTCCCTGTAGCATACAACTAATCGTTTACATTCCTATCATGTAAGACCCAGTCAAAACTCACTCAAGAGTCTAAAGTAAACACAAGCTTCAGCAATTACATGAAGAGCTATACTTTCTCTTTCTAAAGCATTATTTGGTCCTTAAAAGTCAAGAAAATAAGACGGAAGTAATCATACTGATTTGCTTACAATAAAATTATTTCTGTATAACCTTTTAGATTATGGCCTTACTCCTATAAAAGCTTCAAGTTGGCACTTGTCTCATATTATTTAATCTTTGCTGTAACAGTATCTTAGAAAGCACTTCCAAAAATAACAAAATTAACTTGTTAATAAAATAACAATCACAAACAATAACAAAATAACCATATACCCTGAAAAACACACAAGATAAAGTTACATTTCAGGATACTCCTAGTGTCTGTATACTCATGCAAAAGAAAATAGTGGCAGAACTGACTCAAAAGTGTTACACTTGGCTTCAAAAATATTATGTAACTGTGTTAAAAACTTTAGACTCCAAGAGTCCATTTTTCTTAGGTTAATGTAACATGCTTTCCTTGGGCCTTAACTGAGAAATTAAGGAAGCCCAATAACAGGAGAGTTGCTCCAAGTTTCAAAAGTCTTCCATAACACACATGGACAATTTAAATAAAATGAAATAAAATAAGGTAAAATAAAACATGAAGCTGTATTTTTACCTGGCTTCATACCCAACACACAAACACCTTAATCTGTGATACAAATGACATGCTGCGCAAAGTATAAACAGTGTTGCTAAATCATTATTTAGAAGTGATAAATTGTCTTCACCTGATAAGTCATGGTGAATAAGGTCAGCAAAATTGGGGTCTTCACCCCACCAAAATATCCACAATTCTCTTCTTCCAGGTCTTTGATCTCGCCGCCAAACACTAAGCACATCTGCCTTAAGGCAGCGACTGAAACTGCTCAAAATGGGGTCTTCTTCTGTCACCGGAAACAGAATAGGGGCAGAAGTTGGGCCTTGCCATACGTATCTTTTCCATTTAATTCCTGTCAAGTCAGCCTGAAGGAAAGAAAGTATGATTTTTTATTATCACATATCCACGGGAAGTCAACAGTGTTCACTACAGTGTCCCTGATTTCATTAAGACATTTCAATTTTTCAGTGCATGCTTAAGACACGGAAAGCTGATTATGACCCCCAAAAAATCCTCCCTTAATTTTGATAACTCAAAACCCAAGAATTTAAGGAAAACAGCCGAAAAATAAATACTAACATGTCACTGAATAGCACATCAACAGTGTCTCAAGTAGAAATATTTTTAAAATGTTAAATATAAACATGTACTTTAATAATGCACACTGAGTGTAATATATTTCTTTTCTGTCCTCAATTCTATTCTATTTGGTCACATTTGTTCCTTGATGTCAAACTGTGAACAAAAAATTAATGAAAAGTCACCCAAATAATTCCGGGAAAAAAATCCTTATTAATTCATCACACACACCCTTCGCTATAAAAGTCAAATTCGGTAACTGGTCCCAAAGAACTGTCAGTTTATGCTAGTCTATCCTCAAAGAACCTGATCCTAAAAGTACCAAAAATAGATCAGGTTGGAGAAGATAGAAATGTTAAATCTGCTGCATGTCTTACTGTATGTGAGGAGCTGCTGATTAAATTTATAAGGGTGAAGTGCATTAAGGATCTTCATGTAGCATGATGAAAAAAGTCAACAAAAGAAATTCAATAATCTTTTAACTTAAAGGTGGAAAGCACAAGGTGCCAAAAAGTGAAACTGCTGACACATGACTGGCAGTTTACACTTGCCAACTAGTTGTGCTCCGCCCACTTAATTCACGTTATCATATACTCTTAATATTTCTCATAGCACAGGAAAAAAAAAATGAAAAAAGTCAATCAAGCTTTAAATCACTGATGAAGCTATGCTACTGTCCAACTCAGGACTAAATATTCGGAACAGTTGGTAGTTTTGAAAGTCTTAACTGCTGGCTATTACCAGATCTGGGACAAGAACCTACAGGATCGTCATCTATACATTCAGCTTCACTAACACTTTTCACTTCAATAAAACAAGGAGCAGCCGGTTCAAAATCCTTTAAAAAGGCAAGCAAACCAGACAAATACAGAAACTCTCAGTGCAAAACCACAGCAACTCCTCCATTAGTCCCTCCACTCTCACATAATGTTCTAATAAAAGCAAGATGGCTAGAAATTGTCAGAATGGCAAACTGTTTTCAAAACTTTAAAAAGAAAACATGAAATGGCATCTACTGGTTTTCACAGAAAGACCTGAAGTCACCCAAGAGAGAAAAAAAAAGTCTGACTCATACAAAAAAAAGGGTAAACCGAAAAGAAGGTTTTAATACCTAAGTTCCGGGGTCCTGTTTATTAGGGGCAACTAAACTACCAGGGCAAGGGATACAGGTAATGGAGAGAGTAGGGGCAATAATAGAAAGTGTAAAGGAGTTTACATCGCTCAAGAAGGAGAAAAGCGAGAGTTAAGCAAAAACTCAGAGGTAAATGTTAGCGTCTTGCCAGATAAGAGCTCAAGTTGAAGACAAGACTACTCTGAAGGGGAAAAAAAAAGAAAGAGTCGGAAGCCGGAGGAGAAAAGGGGCAGCCTCCACTGAGCCGAGCCGGGACCGCGGAGAAGCGCCGGGCCCGGGCGCGCAGGAGTCCACAAGGCGCCGGGCCGGCTGGGCCCGAGCCCGGACTCGGGCCGGGACTCCGGCCGGGCTCTGACCGGCCCCCTCCCCCACGGCCCCGGGCGCTCCTCGAGGGCGCCCCCTCCCCCACCCGCCGCCCGCGCGCCCGCCCGCCGCGGCCCCCGCCCGCCGCCCCGGCACTCACCAGGCAGAAGAGGTTACAGTGACAATCTTCCAGGCTGGCCCCGTTCAGCACGGAGGAACTCATCGTCCCTCACAGCAGCCGCCGCCGGCGCCACAACCCACCATCCGCCATTACCGCCGCCTCCGACCAGAGAGAGAAACACAGACACCGGGGAGGGCGGGGGGGTGCTGGTGCTGGTGGTTGGGGGGCGGTGGGAGAGGAGGAGGAGGAGGAGGCCGCCGCCGCCGCCGGGCCGCCCTCCCTCCTTCCCCGCCCACCCCCCCGCCGCCCGGCCGGACTGCGGAGCCCGCGGACGCGCGTCTCCCCTCTGGGGGGCGGCGGCGGGGTCGTGGGTCCTTTCCACGGGAAAAATAAGAAATGACACAATTAAGAATCGGAAGGGAGTCAGCAGAGCCTAGATCCCGGAGGGCTCTCCTAGGTCGGAAGGCGCCTGCGAAGGGAGAGAGCCGGGAAAGAAGCCGGGCCGCCGGCCGGGCAGCAGCGATGTCCTTAAGCCCAGAGTCTCCTCAGCGGCGGAGGTGCTGGTGGTGGTGGTGGAGTCGGCGTCCGTCCATGCTCTGGCTGTGTCTTCGTGTTGTCCCTGGAACGAGCCTGTCTAACGTCGGCTCTGCTGCGGCCTCACCGCCTGGACGCCGTAGTCTTCCCCCATTTTGTGGGCCCAGCGGGCGGTGTTTTTCCCCCTTTAATCCGAATTCACGGGTTTTCCCTTCGCTTTAATGGCGGCCACAGGGACCAGCTCGCCCTCCCTGCTCGCCCATTGGCCGCCTGGAGGTCACGTGGGCCCGGGCTCCGCTGGGAGGGGGAGCGAGGAGGGAGGGTAGGGAAGCTTTCGGCCAAAGCGGTGAGCTCCGGGGACCGGGCAGCCCGCCGGTGGCTACTGAGACAGCGCCATCTGCTGGGTGCCCCGGCCAGTGGAAAATGACCCGGGCCCTGGCCCTTATCTTTCTCCTGGAGGGCAGAGGATTCACTTGAAAAATCTGTGAGAAATTCGTGAAAATCAGTTTGAATTCTTTGGAAGAGAAAAGTTGCCCAAAATGCCAAGGCATTCTCATTTATGCGAGAAGGCGGCTGGGGGACAGCGCAAACTGGCAGTCAAAGGATCTGGATAGAGACAGGACTCAGCCACTTAAAAGTTGTGATATGAAGAAAACATAAACGAAGCAATATGGTCCAGTGTTTAGGAGCCTGGGAATTAGAGCCTTGCTGCACGGATTCGAAGCTGGAGCCAGTCACTTAACTCTTTGTGTCTCAGTTTCCTCATCTGTAAAAGGGAAGAAATACTCCCTGTATCTTACAGGCTTGTATGATGAGTTGATGGGAGTGAAGCACGTAGCCCAGTGCCTGGCACAGATTAAGAACTGGGAAGCATTACCTGTTATTCTTGCCATCATAACCTCACGTATTTATTGTGAGGAGCAAGTGAAACCCAGTCTGTAAAATTCCCATAGAGTGTAATTTTCATGAGAACAGGCACTTTGTTGTTTACCGCTCTTACTTTTGGGGCCCTGGGGTCAAACCTAGGGCCTCATAGTGGGCCAGACTGTTGCACTTAGGCCCCGGCCCCAGTCCTTAACTTGCCTCTCTAGGTAGCACACAGTAGGTGCTTAATGTTTGTAAATTTACAAATGAATTAATGGCAAAAATAGTAAGAATCAAACCAAATATAGTGGGGCATGTCTGTGGTCCCAGCTATTTAGGCGGCTGAGGCAGGAGGGCCACAAATTCAAGGTCCACCTGGAAGGTTAGCTATGCCCTATCCCAGAGTAAAAATAAAGATTAAAAGGACTGAGGATGTAATGCCCCTTGCTTCAATCCCCAGCACATGTGCGCACAAACACACACAGAAAAGAAAGAAAAAAGGAAAAAGGAAGAGAGAAAAGAACCAAATTAAGTATTGGTTCTTTTCCTTATAAGACGTTCAGTTCTTGGCTGGATTACACTTCTATGGAAGAGTTCAAAACATTTTCCTTGAGAGTATCAGAGAAGATTACAAAAAAGAAAGGAAGAAAAGATGATTCAGAAGTTAGAAAAGTCAGTTTAATTAGGAGTTATCATAACTATCTTATAGAAAAACTATCTATCCTTTAGCCATAGAACAAAAAGCCTTCCTCATCTGCCCATTTATTCATTTTTGCTGGGAAGAACCCAGATCTTGCCAGGTGCAGTGGCGTACACCTGTGATCCCAGCTAGTCTGGACACTGAGGCAGGTGGCAAATTTGAAGCTGGCCTGGGTAACTGAATAAGACCCTTTCTCAGAGTAAAATAAAATGGGTTGGGGATTTAGTCAGTATTAGAGCACTTGTCTGGCCTGCCTCAAAGCCCTACGTTCAACACCCAGTTCCCCAGCGAGAAAAAGTCCAAATTTTGAAGCCAAAACCCAAAGTATACCACTTTCTAGTTGACCTTAGATCAAATTAATTTATCTTACTCTCAGTTGTTATAAATTGGGGGTAATACAAGTATTTTTTCCTAAGATGGCTGGTGAATGAAACAATGTAGGTACAGAGCTTAATGTTAAATATTAATATAACTTAAAAATCATTATTGAGTGTGTTCCGGGTCTACACCAGGCCTGGGATACAAATATGAAGCAGACATACACCCATTACTCAAGATTTCTGGAGTGGCACTAAGGGAACATTTCCCACAGAATGAGCTAAACTACAATGGACATAACTGCTAGAATAAGGTATGTATCAATGTAGCACAACAGGAGGACCAGGGGAGAAGCATCAAAGTTGAGAAGGCGTCAGAAAGTAGGTAGCATTTGAAATCAGATTTGAAGGATAAAATGAATTCTTATAATGCCCTTTGAAGCAGTTAAATCTTATTAAGCCCAATTCAGATCTAAAGGCCACGTATCAAAGTCAATTATACAAGCAGAACTAATTCAATCCAGGAGCACAAATCAACTAAGGTCGACATCCTTCATAACCGAGTGGCAGCACCAGGAGATTACCACCCCCAGACCCAGGAAGCTAAGAGCGCCTCTGCTCATCTCTTTACTGGAGAGAACCTTTGTTCTCCTGCTTCCTTCAGCCTGAAATATCCTCCCTGCTCCTTCTCCAGAGTGTCCATCCCCTTGGTTTCATACCCCCTTGCTGCCATCACCCAACTTGAGCACCTTCCTTAGGGCCCCAGTGGAGGTAGAATTTGTCTGAAACCTACCAAGTGGGAAGTGACATTTGATTGACCTTTTATTTGAATGTCAGTCTTCTCAAAAAGACAAGAGGGGAGGAAGGGCCAGAGAGGGAAAATGCTGGGGATCATCATGGAAAAGAACTGAAGAGAAAGAGAAGACAGGAAAGGAGAGTGAGGGGGAGAAAGAGAAAGAAAAAGAGAGAGTGGAAGAGGAGCAAGAGGAGGGGAGGAGGAAGAGATTGAGAGAGGGAATGGAGAAGCAAAGTGGAGGACTGTGGGGACCCCAATAGTGAGGGGAATGAAAACCTCATGGGCGGGTAGAGGGGGTGGAAAACAGTATCAGCCCACAGAGAGTTTGCTGGGAACTGCTTCCATTCTGTTAAATAACATTCTGAGCAGGGTGTGATGGCATGCTTTTAATCCCACACTTGCAATTTCATATGTAGTCAATATAAAATTTTTTGAGATAGTTTGTATCCTTTTTTTTTTTTTAGGCATATCTACAAAATCCATGTTTTATTTTGTTTTTTTAATTTTTACTTAGGCCCAGGATTTAGCTCAGTGGTTCTGGTGCCTGCCTTGCAAGCGCAAGGTCCTGAGTTCAATTCCCGGTACCAAAAAAAAAGGAAGAAAGAAAGAAAAAAAATTTTTACTTAAAGCACATTTCAACTCAGACTGGCCCTTTTCAAGTGCCCAGGAGGCACACGGAACTAATGGGTACTGTGTTGGGTGGGTGGTACAAATCTATAGAGTCAGAAGTGGAAAGCTAAGGAACCAATTAAGCTGTAGAGTGAGTGGTCCTGAGCCTCGGGACAATATTGATTTTCTTGAGGTCCTGTTAATGATTTAATGTGGTACTTAATTTAATAGAAAAAAAAAGGCTGAGAAGCTACAAACCATTTTATTTAGTGAATGTGCAAGGACGACTTCATCGAATATAGAAATGAGCCGACTTAGATGAAGTAAATCACCAAGCCGAGGCAATTCAGGAAACATTTCAATTCTAGGTGTCTAATATACTGAATTGTCTCAAAAGTTCCCCTTAACTGTCATTTTTCTAAATAATGTAGCATCTACCTCCAAGTCAAGTTTTTTTTCCAATGTTTTAACATTAAGTTTGAAGACAATGCCCCCTAATTTCCTCACTTTGAAATTAGGTTTGTAAACTTCATAAGTAAACCAGATGTTCCCCTTTCCCATCTTTATTCCGCCCTAGCCAGTCATTTGGTCCTCTGGGAGTCTGTTTTTTCAAACCCGATGAAGAAAATGGATTGAGTAATCATTTCGACTTAACACCTAATATATGACACAGAATATATGTCAGTTACTGTATTATCCTGGCTCTCTAGATGGAGATGCTGAGGTTTAGATAGCAGCTTGCCTGAGCACAAAGAAGTCTGTAAAATACGCTGAGGAATCCTGATATATCACGAAGATTCAAAAGACACTTCCTGGGGGACAGTTGAAACTAAATCTTGAATGATGAGTTGGGTTGAGGCAGGAAAAGATTGATGGGAGAGCGGAAGGACAGGTACTGGAGAAAGAGGAGAACTGGACAGCTTAGTATTGGTGGGAAAAGCCAATGGCTTTTGGCTGGAGA